CCACATCTATCCCAGTTTTACTGTAATTGCAGTCAGAGTCCCTTTTTGAAGCTTCAGTACCTCTAAAGTTTATATTGCAAAACAGGAAGGTCAGTGTACCACACAGAGAATCTGTTCTGTGACAAAACCAAATGTTGGAATTACCTGTTCCAACGTGTCTCTGAGCTCAGAGGGCAAAAAATGGCGTAACTTCCGTAAGATTAAAAAAAAAAATCCATTTTATTCCATTTTAAAAAGTCAGTCTATGGATAATAATATTCCAGAACTACCAACTGTGATTGAAAGAAGGGAGAGGGCAACTCAGTTGGTCACTTCAGGTCAATTTTTTATTCCCTAAAGTAGGTTAACTGGAATCCTGATGGACATATATTTGAATCTGATGTTGGTCAAAGCTGAAACCATATTTACTATTTTTATTCAATAATTTTATTACAATATACATGCTTCTATGTGTGTTTGAAGTGGTGTAAAATAAAAATAATTAAAACAAAATAATTTTAAAAATGAAGCGGCAACAGAATATGTTAAATTATATTCAATATTTTTCCCAGTTTGCCACCTTTTCCTTTACTTTCTAAATACCTTTTAGAATGGTTCATCACTTTTCAAGGACATGAACAAAGAGAACCAGAACTTCACAAAATGTATTTCAATATAACTTTCAACACCTTCTTTCAAAGAAACTTGTCCCTAATTAGTATCGATATGGAAGCATTTTTTAAATATAGAGTCCAACAAAAAAAAGACTGTATAGATATAAAAGACTTCAGTTTCATCAATAAGTTCAAACTTCCAAGAATCTGATCAATAGTAGCTTAAAGGCAAATCTCGCCTACCACTGACAAGCGATGCATTCTCATTCTCAAACCATATAATCTACAGACACATTATCTTTACCCTTTTGTAGTGTTTAATACAAGGAAATTGCCCCTTTAGATTAAAAAATCAATCAAATCTGTGAAATAATAAGATCAAAGTAAAGTATTAGTCTGAACACTTAAGAAAAATCATATAGTCTATCCAGAATTAATGAGAAACAAGGACCACTTCAAACATTACAAATTCCTATGAAGATTGTTCTTTTGTATATAAAATAACATGCTACTCACACAAGCATCACCATATATGACAGCTATTTTTTGTATATATATCAGTTACATGGATTTCTTATAACTTTCTAGCACTTAAATATATTTGTCATGCATAAAGGCAGGAGTAAATTCAAGTATATCAGGCTTGTTTGACATAAGATATAATTTTAATTTAAACACAATTTAAATTAAATACAGGACTATTATAATATGAAATAGACTTAAGGCAAAATATAATCCACAGAATGGACTGCAATGGAACTGATACTGAGGAAGTTTAGTTATACACACTAAAAGCACATAATTGGCTTGAAACTTATAGACAAAAATTGGTTAGTTCAAGCATATGTTCCTATACACTGAAGCATTTTATCTCCTACTTCCAGAGGATCCACAAATGTTTTAGATAAACCATGATTTATGCAAGCCACAACCCAACACTAGAGTATTTTTTCAAAAATTTCTGATATCCAAATTTCAATACAATTCTTTATCCTCCCAGGTCCAAGCTCAAAACAACAATGAGGGATAAGAGGAGGTTTAAATAATGTTGCTTTATATTTGCATTGCATTCCTTCAAGTAGGACTATATGGAAGATTCCAAATCCTGATTGGCTCCTCAACATCACTGATTCTCTCTCCACATTCTCCCCAAAAGCTGAATCTCTCCACTTCAGCCTTTTTATCCTCATTCTGACTTACTCACTGATTGAGCTGGGCAGTAATAGATACATAGTGAGAAGGGGAGTCACATACTCAGTAGACACTGTGGATGGATGAAAGGAGAAAAAAATCATTGAGTGAAATGTATCAGTTTAAACCAGGGAGCACAAGCATGTAGAAGGGGCAAGTAAAAGAATGTGCACCATGATGTAAATACAACTTATGTACAAGCATCAGATGTCAGGACACAAGTACATAAGAGTAGGATTTGCATCATGATGTTACTGTGCATATGTAATTTTGGTTTGCTGTGGATGCCTATGCTGGAGAGACACAAGTTCAAATTCCCACTCATCCACAAAGTTCGTTGCTTGACTTTGAGCCAATCAGTCTCTCTATTAGGGTTTTTGTGATGCTAACAGTTAAGGAGACCCTTGTGTAAGCTACCTTGAGCTTTCACAGAAAGGGTGGAATATAAATGCAAAAGGTGAGATATAAATGCAAACAAAAATAATAACAAATATTCCCAAACAGCTCCATACATGTAGGAAAAACAAGGGTCATTATTTTTCAAGCCATGAAAAAGATCCTCAAGTAGTTACTTTGAATTATAACTTCTACTGTACATGCTGTTAAATGAATGCAACTGGCACTTAGCTCCACCAAGCAGAACTTAAACCAGTAAAACTTTAGAAATCTTATGCCATTTTAGGTTCTTGAACTCAGCATTACCAGCTTTGTACACTTCTATTCTCTGCTTATCATGCAAAGCAGCATCAAAGTTTTTTAGTCTTTGATTCTCCCTATCTTTAATTATTATGTCAGTGCTTTCCTTATTCCATTTCCTTTCATTTTTTAAAAAAATTAAACATATTGTTTCTTGGCCATCCTTCCTAGCATAGCTCTCTCTTGCTCCTAAAGTCCTCCCACTCTTGCTCTTTTCTTTCCCTCACCTTACTTCCCCTTCAATTCCTCTCTTTCAGTCTACTGCTGACTCCACACCTTTTATTTATTCTCCTTGTTATCAGATCTCCTTGTTCTAATGTCTCAGTCTCATCTCAATCAACTGGTCTTCTCTTGTCCAAAGGTAACAGTCTTTTCTTCTTTAGAAAAGTCTGGGCAATAAATTATTCTGTCCCTCAAAGCAATTCAATATTCCAGACAATTGCAGCATCTGTATTAGAAGCTTCAGTAACAGAACACAACTTATAACTATATGCCTTCAGTAAGTTTTACAGATGGCTTCAAACACTGCCTAGTTCAGTGAATCGAGATCCTATTTTCACAATTAAAAAGTGGTAAAATCCAGTTCTCTTGATTTCAAACTTCTGTAAAATATGTTACATACAAATCTTATTTCTTCATTTTTGTATGCTTTTAAAGAAATTCAATCATTACACAGCTATCCTATAATTAGTTTTTTAAAATTATTTAAGAATTGAAAATAATACAAAACACACATTCAAATATATACTCAAATAAGAACAAAGTTCAGCCCCAAAACAAAGTGCTGAGAGTGGCAACAATTTAAAAGCAGTTAGTAAGAAAACTAGGCACATACAATGTTGCATGTGGCCATCCTTATTTTGGAGCTACTATATTAGCAAAATGGTGGTCTTAGTTGTTCTTGCCAACTTCATTGGTTTACTTAGCAGGTATATGAGCAGGATCTTCATCATGATGCTTAGGCCTAGGCTTAACCAGTCTTTCAAATAATTGTGTTTCAAGTTATGCTTTTCAAGGCCGCTTTCCAATTAAAACAAGATGAAAATCAAAACTCCTTTATTTACATGTACCGTCCAGTTTATTCCTAAATGGAAAGCTTTTCCTAAGGGCAAAAGTAACAAGCCATGTACAGTGCTGTCCATCAGCAACTGGTGCTGATTTACCCAAGTAATAACCAAGAGTATGGCTCAGGCTCAGTTTTGCCCTATATCTGGCTTCCATTTTGCAGCTCAAACTAGAGTTCCTGCCAGCAGCATCCAAAAAAGAATCATGCAAGATGGTTGTTTTTTAGATAATATAATCCCCAGCAGAGAGTCTTCATGTGATAAATTCCTTCTCAGCAAAGGTGTGATGATCAGTCTTCTTTCTTCATCACAAACCAGGCCATAGCATTTGGGCTGTGCCACAAATGAAAGCCAGACATTTTAATTTCCTACACACTTTCCTCACACCTCTTGAGATTTTCTGTTATTCTAATAGTCATCTAATAAAAAGTTACTTGTATTGGTTACCTTGTAATAAAGGAACATCTTGCCTTGCTTGGATTGTTACACCCAGAGAAGGGACAGAAGAGAAAGATTTACTGTTTACATTATTTCTGTTTCAATCCTGAGTATGAGATATGATTATTCTGGTAATTTTCCCTCAAGGCTTATGAATAAAAAAAAAAGCAGCATCAGACACACAATTTTTAGTTTGGTAAGTTTTAACTGTCATGCACAGGCTGTTAAGCCATAAGATGGTTCCTTTTGTTCTAATTTTGTGTGTTATGTGAAGTGTGCCTCTGTGATTTGTAAATTATGGTTTATCATTTAGCAAGTTATATGAACCCATCCAACCATGGTTTAATCAGTAAAACATTATTAAAGAAACTACAGTTTAAGAAAATGTGTTAATCCATGCATATTACCTCAGGACTACAATTCTGTAGAACCCAAATAAGGATTCCCTTTCCCGTTTGTATATTACAACCACTATGTGTCAAGAGATGCCAGATATATCTTTAGCAGGTTTTAAAATTATGTGGAATCAGTCACAAAAAGTTATACAACCACTTGATGGACCTCAAAAGGCTGTTGCAAGCATGAATGAGATTACGACCATAAAATATACGGCACCCGAATGAATATATATTCTAGTGTCCAGAAGTTAATTTCTCCAGGAGAAAGAAACTCCAGCCCAAGGAATTGTTCCTGTTCTTTCTTTTGCAGAACGGGCTGGAGAGCTGCTGCAGCGAGAATACCTGCACTACGGCCAAGCTGAGCACTGTGCGCGCCCACAGAGCATGGCTTGGCCCCCGCAAACATACGCGAGGTTGACGGTGCAGGCGACCACACACTCCGTGGCATTCTCGAACCCGTCCGGGGCGCAGAGACCCTCGAGCCTCTTCTTTCAGATCGAGCGGGAAGGGGTTCCCGCCGCCGGGACCGCAAGGAGGCGAACAAACCGGCTAAGGAGGAGAGGCCCCTTCCCTCCCCCGGACCTCTCGGAGACCCTCCCGCGCCGATCCCGACCACTTACTTTTCCACCGGGCCCTCTTCTCCGCGGGAGGGCGGAGGGAACGGCTGACCGAGCCAACCAGCCTATCCTGCCTGCCTTCCTCCGCCTCCGCGCGCGCGCCTCAACCTCAACCCTGCTCTTCTCCGTTCCCACAGGCACTCCGCTTGCAGCCACCGACAGTCTAACCAACCCACGTTCAGCGCTCGACGCATAGGACCTACCTCCCTTCAATGCTGTCCAATCCCAATAGATATTTCAATAGGGAGGGGAATGACAAAGGGGAGGATAAGTGGGCAACCAACCCGATGGACATTTCAGCCTCTTGGCGCCTTCGCCAAGAGTTTAACCAATAATAAAAAAGAACCCGGCGACAAAGTCCCGCCCTCCCGGCATTGGCCACATGATAGTTAAGCCAATCATAAGCCGGAGCTTTCAAATCTTTCTCCTTTCAGCCGCACAGTGTCCCACGGGCGAGAGGTGGCGCATGCGTACGTGAATCTACCCAATAGCCTCGTTTACTCTTGCGCACGTCACCGTCCCTCACTCGCACGCATCAACAATCGCCCGTACGCTACGCGTTTCTCTTTTTCGCCCGCCTCCCTGGGCGTGCGCAATCTCGGCCCGTTGCCATGGTGATGAGGAAGCCCGCGCCTGCGGCCTTCTGAGCTTCACCTCTTGTCTGATCAGGTTGTTTTCTAGTCCTTTCCTAAAATTATTCCTTATTTTGCTGCTTGGAGATGCACACTTTTCTTCTGTCAAAATACACCTCCGCAGTGTCGCGCCGCTTTACCACTGCAGCCATACATGACTAACTCCCTGCACGTTAACAAAGTCCAGATAGATTGGTGGTATAGTCCGGGAAGCCGGGGGCTCTTTGATGTGTGCCACATCCTGATTTTGTGTCCACAATAAATGTGAATAATAAACTACAGTAACCCTTTGTTCAAAATAACGACTGAAATCTTACCTCTCCCTTCCTTGGGTAGGGATTATAGTTAGGAAGTAGCAGAAGGCATTTGGTTCTGTTACTAAAGTCTTGGCATTTCCAGGCATGGTGAAGAAGCTATCTGACATCCCAGAGAACAGGTGTCAGTATACACGTGCTGGACTAAAGTGAGGTTGAATGAGTTGACCCAGCCTTTTTAGACACATTTAGTGCGGTAGATCAATGGTCCAAATATGGCATAAGGAAATTTTTTCCCCATATTTCCCTCTCCACCAACCGGCTTTGGATCAGTTCAACATGGCGGCTCTTTGCATGCAGCTGTGGCTTTTATTAAAACATTGGAACTATTATGCCTCCTTGGTTTAAGAATCCCTTTTGTCCAGAAACAGCATCAGAGTTGAAGGATTAGGGGACAGCTAAGGGAATGCTCTAAATTAGTACAGTGGTACCTCGGGATACGAACTTAATCCGTTCCGTGACTCTGGTTGCAACTCGAGTTGGTCTCAAGTCG